TAGACATTTGCAATGGTGGTTCATTCTCTAGAAGTGACCTCACATAGCCTGCCAACTGCATGTCTTCTGCTCTCTACTGCTGAGATGAGGGCTTTGTACGTGGCCCCTTCTCCCTTACCTCCTTCCACACCTCCAGACACTCTCGTTCTCTGGTCATTCCATACGTCGTCCTGTCATTTCTGTGCAATCTCTCTTCTGTCTCTACTGAGGTCGCAGGTATGGCCCAGAGGTTTCCAGCTGGTGATTTTCTTGGCGATTTCTGCAAGGGACTTACGACTGATTACATCATCAAGTTTTGAGCTCCATGCGCAGTGTCTGACAGAGAGGACGAGCTTGAAAGTGAGCATGTTTCGTGTTGTTGCAGTGGACTGTGTAGGGGAGTCTGTGGGGACTGGATGCGGTGGACTGAACGGACCAGAAGAGATGTGCATGATAGCGATAACAGGACTGTGCCTACAGTAGAAGTCCTGTTATTTGCACTGTTGCCATGAAAACCAGAGATAATTGTATGACATGTGCATCACAGCTAACCTTGCTTTGGCGTCAGTGTGTATTTCCTTATTTCCTCCCACTCTGTGATACCCAATATCTCACAGAATTCTAGTGGACTGAGAAACTTGAATTAGGGTCTCTCTCGATATCCAGCTTGATTGTCGGAGATATGGAACTATTACTGGAGTCCATCATTTCTTTGGTTAGCTGCATAATTATTATACTTCACAATGATTGGGATTATGTACAGCAAGCACTACTAACCTCACAAGGTTCCTTGTCAAGTATATTTGCCATCCCATATCAAAGGGCCACTTTAGCGCTACTTTGTCCTCTAGAAGGCTGATTGGCTCGAAAGAAAGCGAGAAAAGCCGAGAAGAGAAGTTCTCCTTCACAAACTTTTGCAGTTTCTGGGAAGTGAGAAAAATACACATAGCCTGCCCTGTTTGTTTGGTTATCACACTTACAGTGAAATACAACTCATGGTGAAGAAAGGCAGAAAATAGAACAGTGTCGTCATACTCCTTGCCTCGATAAACTGGCACACATATCGATTGTCATCTGCTCGGTATACAATAATAGTGCAGGGTTTACTCATATAAAAATAATCTCACCTCTCATTCGTTTACTAGAGGATTTTCTGAGGGCTTCTTGCGCTTACGACCAGTAGTTATCGTACAGAAATGAGTGAGCAGAATTCGACCGTCATTCTGATGAGGTTTGAAATCCCCCTCTCCAAGGACTCTGAACCATACACCGGCCTCTCTCTCGTGTGTGAAGTGGCTGGTGCCGAGAGAAGAACATTTCCTCACAGTCGTCCCCAGTTTCTAGGTTGAGAAGTGCGACATGGTGAGGAAATGTCACGCGAGAATTCAAACGAGGGAGAGACGAGGAACACAGGGCTGGCTAGTTCACAGTCATCGGGCAATGAGAACGACCGTCACAACATGCCAGACACTCAGTTCCAGCTCTCTGTCCGCAGGGACTGCCCCCGGAGGGATAACAAACTCCACCCCTATCTCCTCCCTCAGCTGATGTGAGCACCACCACTGTGACCGTTTGCTTCCACGGATTCCCAAAGAACCTTATTCCTGGGTATCTGTCGTCGTACTTGTAGTAGGAAGGCTGTGATATAATTATATTAATGTACAGTCTGGGAAAAAGTAACCCACTCACAACTGTCATTTCTTGTTCCTTTCTTTCCACGGTTGCAGCGTCATCCTCGCTTCTTTGTTTTGAGAATTAATCTCTTCTCTGCCTTCATCCTTCTCAGGTTTCTGATATTAAATACAAGGTGGCAACTATATCAATGTGTTCCATACATTTTTCTCTGACTTTGCTCATCAACTACACCCAGGACAACTCTTTTTACCCCACCTACCGACCGTATAATACACCGCGCGCCGGCGGAACCACCCAGCATGTGAAGTCCTCAATAAAACGATATGCATATAATAGCCAGTATTAGCAATAGTGTGTCTTTGCAAGATACATTCTTATGTTTAGTTAAGTTAGCTTCATACGTGACAAGCAATTTCAACAGTTCTCAAGAAACTCTTGGTCAGCTAGGTTAGCTGCAAAGTGGGGTTACCTCCCCACTCGCCAATAATAAAGCTACTACTATGCACGTGCAATAAAGTTGGTGACTCTAGTTTAGAAAACCAAATGTCATTGTACATGAGTTCTTTGGAACATATATATTGCCGTAAAAAACCAAGTACCAGTGGTAGCATGAGTGGACCTAAACTGAGGTGCTTCTGGACTGTGGCCAGGGATTTTATTGTCAGCCTCAGAACATCTCTTGGTGTCCTCGAGGTAAACAACTATTTAGTGAAATAGACAGATGGTAAACACAGTTTAAATGTGAGTTGTGCACTCAACCTGTTGTGGATTGAGTCTCCTGGCCAAGTCTGTAAGTTTCGCAGCTCAGCGCGGGCCATCTCATCAAAAGCATGCACACCTCCCTGTATATATATTATTACTAGTTAGTATTACAGGAAAAAATACCATATGAAACGCAGTACCTCATGTTGCTTGTCTTGTGATCAGCTAGCATCTTGCCAAGCCTCTTGGCCGCCTAGAGTTGATTGCTACCATCAGTGGGTGTATATTGCCCAGTGTATGTACGTATATGTTACACGATGCGGCGCGTGGTCTACACTAGTTGGCAGTTCGTTTTGAGGCGAAGCCCGAGTGGTCTATCATAACTGAAGCCACGAGTGTGCACAAGCCAAAGCCACCGTATATAACGTATTTGTATGATGACATCCGGCGGTAAGGCTCTGACCAATGAGATTGCGCAAAAGCTTTCAAAACGCCCTCTTTTTCACGCACACCCTCGAGTGTATAATAATTAAAAGAAAGCCGAATACTGTTCCAGTATTACGCGTCGGGAAGCAGCTTTCAGACCGCGTATATACTAGAGCAGTTTCTGGCCTGAAAAACACTCCCTCACTGGTAAAGAAACAGAAGCACGCACAGAGTGTAAAAGCCCCCAATTGCATTCCAATTTCCTACTACAAGTATGTGGAAATTGTATGGCCTCTTTATGTGCAAACCCTCGGCGAACTGCGCATGCGCGGGACCGCTAATTGCGTTTACGTACTTGTGGTCTCAGCTCCCGCATAGTAGAGTCTGACACGGGCTAGCTACAGTAGTAGATAGCATGCGAGAGTCGATACACGCCATTCGTTGTGACTTCTTGTGCCTTCAAGATACACAGAGCAAGCGGACCCGGTCTAGGTAAGCTAAATATAAGCGCATGCGCATTTTCCGCAGCGATAAAATGGGCGACTACGCAGCCCTATATACAATGCTAGGAGCGCTCTAGCTTTGCAACGAAGCATTTTCAGAGAAAACCGCACCAACGTTCTGACCTTCATTGCCCGTTAAGTAGGTAGTATCCTTTGTGAGACGAACGAACACTCGAGAAGTGAGATGACGAGTAACAGACAGACACACAGACAGACAGACAAACCTGTAACCCCCTCGCTACGCATGCGCGCCGAGGGTTAACTACCAGACTGAGCAGGAAGCGCTCACTACGCGCATCTGGACTAGCTGGAATTCCTTTGATCTTACTCTCAGTCATCATTCAAAGAGAAATTATTCTCTGTGTAGCTATCCACACTATCTATTAGCTATTAGCTATCATATCCACATATTTAACCCTCGGCACACATGTGCAGCGAGGGTACAGTAGTTGGGTTGTCTGTCTGTCTGTTACTCAACATCTCACTTCTCGAATGTTTTTTCGTCTCACAAACGATACTACCTACTTAACGGACAATGAAGGTCAGAATATTTGTGGCGATTTTCCTGAAACGACTGCGTTCGCGAAAAAGCCAATATGCATAATCTCACTGGCTTACCGCAACCTGATCTGCTCGCTCCGTGTACCTTGGGGGCTCAGGAAGTCACAACGAATGGAATGTATCGACTCCTGAATGCTATCCACTACTGTAGCTAGCCAGTGTCAGACACCACGAGTAAACAATACAAATAGCCCAGCCCATCAATTAGCAGTATCGCCCATGCGCAGTTCGCCGAGGGTTTGCACTTTAGTGCCTTTCATTTAATGATGCACGATACACTTGTGTACTGCTTTCATGTAACGAGCCTGGCATGGAATTTGGGAGGGTCTCACCATATTTGGGTCTGCATCGTTGTCCAAGAGCTCCTGTACGATTTCTGTATCACCCCATTTTGTTGCAATCAAGACAGGGGTTTCCCCATGCTGTGTTAGAACAGTAAAACCAACGACTGTGGTATATATGATGACACTGCATAACTCACGTTATTGCAAAGGTTTGGATTAGCCTTCATGGAAAGTAGTTGTTTAACAAGTTTGAGGTTCCTGTTCTTACACGCAAAAATAAGAACAGTTTCCCCATACTAACAGGAAGAGAGAGATGAGAGAAATAAATAACATTACGGCATAGAAGAGAAGACCTACGCTGTCCTGGAGGTCCAACTGAGAGGGATCTCCACACGTCTCAATAGAGCTTCACAACTCTGTCTTGTTCATTAGTCAGCAGTGGCAAGAAGAATAGCATGGTGTGGTTCTGCATGCAGATGAAGGTATCAATAGCGATTCGTGAATGACAAATAAAGCCACCTCATCTGAGGTGTGGAGTTGCTCCAGCTGGAGTATCCTCAGGGCCACCTCATCAGACGTTTGTACACTGCAGATCCATCAGAGCTGACCAGCCACCCTGGAGAGCAGTGTGGTATTAAGTGTTTGGTCTATAGTCATCCATAGAGGCTCACATGGTCTTGCATGTCCGGGTTTGCTCCTTTCTGTAACAGAATATCCACCGTACCATATCGGCCATTGTTTGTAGCCGCCATTAGTGCAGTCCAGCCTTCCTGTTTTTAGCGACAACTAACAGTATAGACACACAGCTAATTCATTAAACTGACATTATTAGTGCGGTTAGGGTCAGCTCCTTTGTCCAGCAGCAAACCTGCTATTTCAACATTACCCTGTCGACTAGCCTCCATCAGGGGAGTAAATTCAATCTATGATCACATAATGTATACTCTACCTTTCAGACATACACTATGGCAACTGTGTTAGGTACCATTGGAGGCGATGCATTTGGGTCTGCCCCCTTTGAAAGAAGAATTTTCACTTCATCTTTGTCACCATTTGACACAGCGGTCATCAATAACTATGAGAACACGCAGCAGTTGAAATAGAAACTAACATTAGAAACTCAACTTACTATGGGATTAAGCAAATACTTGGGAACTACCAACTTGGAGACAGTAGTGATTACAGAGCCGGCCACAGATCTCTGTGTTTATATAAGAGCTTTGAGTTTCCAGAAGCATACACATAGGCAGTTCCATCAATCAGTCACGCTGCCCCCCACCCAGAGCGGATGTGTATGGAAACTTACTTTTTTCACAACAGCCTTTGTGTCACCAGCTGAAAATACAAGTAAATTCACTCAGTTAGAGCCTAGCGGCCACTATTTATATACTAGCTTAGCAAACACACATGGACACAAAAATGATTCAAGAGTCACAAACCTTCTTGTTGTGTTGGCCCCTGAGACTCTTCTTTCAGTGGCTCTCGTGGTGTTGGTGGCTCATCTGACTGAGGGGACCATTCAACCTGAAAGCAACAATCAATCAAAGTGATCGCTATTCTTAACTTTTCTGAGACTCCCTACCTGGACTCTGTCTCTAATAATGATAGGGTCCACTGAAGAACCTTCGTTGTTTCCGCCATCAGATTCACTTACGTCTAGCTCTAGGCCAGAGACGGTTGCGCATTTAGGGATCCAGAAGGTGAGGATTACGGAGCCCTTTTCAATCTTCTTCAGAAATACCAAGAAATCGACAAGTTTGTATTGGGCGGCTAATTCCTGTCTAAATATCTCGACGTCTTCCAGCGTTTTAAAGTCTTTCTTCTCTACAAGCTCTCTGAAGGTAGATGGAACTTCTGAAGAGCGCTTACCCTTTAAAACACATGAGCAGTAGACGGTGACATCGGTATGCTTTCGGAAATACTCAATGTCCTTCTTGTAATTGACCATGCATTCCCGCAAGTTGTCGTAAACGTGCTTCAAATGGCCGGCAAAGAGATCCCTTGTTGCTGGTCGCAGAAAGAGACGTTCCAGGAGAAAGTAGTTGAACGGATCCCAGTATTCGTCGAGCTCAAAGAAGAGATCAGTCACATCTTTAGCTTCCCGCAGCGACCTGAAAAATCCACCTGGCACGTAACTAAAGTGTGCATCGTGGCGATGAATTACGTTGACCACTTTCCTAGGGTCTGCATTGCTGTCCTCCAGTGCCTTTTGTGTTTCTCAACCATATAGTTAAAGGTTTCTGTCAGCTGTTTGCTATCCTTTCAACTGCTCCATCTACAGAATAAACCCCAGCCCTATGGAGTATTGCTAGGTACAAACATAGCTATCGTACCTGAAAGAAATCTTCACTTGAGAGTTCCAGTGGACTCAGTGGGGAGAGTGGGGAGGTGGGAGAGCTAAAGCTCGGCCTTCCCTCAGATCCAATTGCTGAACAGAATTCAATGCATAACTCAGAGAGTATTGTTATTATTATAGACCTCACCAGAGTCACCACTTTCTTGGTGTGGAAGATCATGCGGAGGTGTTTCGGCTGTTCAAAAAGTGCATGAAAACTTGAAATAATTCTACTTCTATCAAAGGTGCATCTATACCCAACTACGTACCTTGTTGTAAGCCAACTTTTTCCCGCACTTTCCGAGCAACGTTACTTCCCCCGCCATCGCCATCACATTTGGAAACAGCGTCGGCCAACGCCCCCCACGTATTTTCACCGTTCCGCTTCCAGTTGTCGATGACTGCCTCTAGACAACGCTCGACGCCGTAACTCTTGAAATCTGCGCCAATAGTGTCCAAGTCAACATCGCTGACTCCCAGTCGGCGACCCAGGGTTCTCCAGTGACGAGGGAAGAAATCGGCTTCCCGCAATACATCCAAAACTGTCTGCACATCTACGAAGTGGGTTTAGACCAGCAATCAACTTTAGGTTTATCTCGGGCTATTGACCTACCAGATGGGTCTAGGTTGGTGCTCATGGTTACATGTCGATGTAAAGCAAAACACAGCCCTCTCTTTCCTCGTCTCTTTCCCCTTGTTCACCGCGACCGCCCCTCGCACTTTCAACAACGACGACCGCGCCCGTTCGTGCGCATGCGTGATCTAATCTGCTTTTGCGTTTCACATAAAAAAATTTCTACAAGCTTTTGCGGCACATATGGGTCATGTAGCACATTGGTGAGTGGTTGTAAATTTAGCCACGAGTAAAGCCAGTTCAACTGCCCTGCACTGACTAAGACTCATGCCCAGCCCGCCCCGCGAAAAGGCCGTCCGAGAGCTTCAGTTGATTTTCCCTGCACTGGAGAACAGTTTGGGAGGTCCAATCAGATTGCAGAATTTCATTTGTCATGCACGTAACACGTGGTGCAATTTTGAATATTTGCCTAGCGAACGCAATTTTAAAGATAGCAGGCTAGAGCTGGAGGTGTAGACAGCACGCTCTAGAACACTTCCGAGATACCGTTCATAGTTGCAGTGGTGCCGTGATGCTCTTGGTATCTTTTGTAAGCTCTGTCTTAGAGAAAATGCTGCCAGAAATCGATTTACGTGTGTAAGCAGTGTTTTATGAGTCTGGAGGGGTACGAAGGTTTATAGGTGAGCTAGAGCAGGTTCATTTTGAGTGTTAGCTGCATTTGGACTGCAATGACGTTGATCCTGGGCTTTTTTTCGCTTAGGTCTATAAAGGCGAACGTGAGCAAGAGCGTGATTTTCGAATTACGTAAACATTGATAATACGTTCCCAGACCCTCTTGGGTCCAGGGTCTGGGAATTACGGTCAAATGTGTAGCGCTTCGTCACTTACCCAGTAGGAATTTTCATGTTCAAGTGTGAAGTGCATTGAAGTGTGCATAGTTTGTAAAGTTCACAGCTTCGTAAGTGCGTCCAAAGTGAAGGTGTTCAACTGAAAGCTATATCTCTGTGATTTCTTTCCACATCGTCAGCAAGTTTATTGAGTTCCGTTTGTCGCAAGATTTGTATTAGGTTTCCCCAAGTCACTGGAGTGGGCATCTCTTGCAGCCATTTCTTTAAAATTTCGTAGACAATATTTTCTGGATTACTACTACAGGCCTCCATATTAGCAACTTGGCAGCCTTCATTGTCTTTGAGAATAAATGTCCCGAATTTTTTGTAGTTCACTCCAACTTTTTCTGGGATTTGGAGACGCATCAATTGAGGAAGGGTTGGCTTAGTGTTAGATGCAGCATTTCCCACCCACAGCAACTGTTTATCGTTGGGTTTAACGTCTCTCCTGGGCATTCAAGGCATTCAAGGAAGTAACTCATACTGGTACGAGGTTTAACAAATTTTGCATGGTGCGGATCTTCCACCTCTCCACAGGAACAGACAACGGCAGGTGAGATTTTGATTTGATCTTTCTTCAGGCGCATGATATTGAAGACCTTTTCAATTGCACCAAAAACGGTTGTGCGAAGCTCACTGCAAGTATTGCGGGGCAGATCATGGATACTTTTTCGAGTCGATGTGGATCTCAATGTATTGGTTGCGGTCAACAAGAACGACATTCACAAGAAGTTGTGGGTCACGCAGAGAGGCAATGTTCTGGGCAAGACATTTGACAGCACCACCTTTTATCGTGCGAACTACCCAGCCGTACTTGGAGAGAAGACAGGAGATGGTGCTGCCAAAGCAGCCGAGGGGAACACAGCCACTGCTAAACTTCACGACTAGTGGAACTCTGTCAGAAGATTCAGGTATGTGGTTATGGAGTTCCGTATCAGGAATGGCAGGCCTCAAACACATCATCAGGTACTCTTTCTTCTTGTCATCAACTGGGGTAGCTGCATTCTCAGCTGTGTCGGGCTCCAGTGGAGCTAATGTAAGGGTGTGACAAAAAAGCTTGATGGCATCTTTAACTTCGTAAAAATCTTCTTTGAAGTGAGGCGAAACCTCATCATAGCTAAGCATTTCTTCTGTCACAGTGCCTGTGCCTTTGAGTAAGGCCACATTTGCTGGGACACCCTGCAGCTTTTTGTAGCTATAACGAACAATACCATTGACTATGTCAAGAGGGACTTGGGGTTTGACAAAGACGTGTTTTGGGAGAACATTGCGAAAGTAAAGGAAGGTGTTCTGGCGATGAAAGAGGATCAAAGCCGCTTCCACCATTTCGGCATTCATTTGTAGCCGTGCACCAACCTGCTTGCATTCCTCGAGGCTCAGAATGTCACGTTTTGCATCTTTTTCTGCAAACTTGACGAGATCTTGCTCAAACACAAAGAAAGAAGCTGGTGTGTCGAAAGCGTTTCCCAAACTTGCCTGCTAATCTGTTTGCAAATCAGCTCAAGGGCCTTTTTATCCTGATAATCTGGGGTCTTCAAGTCCAGAACAAAGGCAATCTCGCTTGGTTCTTTAAATATAATCAACTCATTTTTAAATGCAGGGAGTAAGAGCCTCTGAAGCTCAGTATTTAGTGTATTTACTCGAGCATCAAGGTCGTCCTTAACACAATCACGATGTGTGGCCACAATTATAAAGCGGAAAGCTTCTTTGATGGATTTTTTGGCATGCAAGGTGGACAGAAGCTTCATGATGATGTCCTTGCCAGTGTAGCGAGAAGGAAAGCCGCGCGGGAGAGGCACATCTTTCTCGTGGTGCTTGACCGGTGGATATTCATCGAGGGTGTATCTGAGATCCACTAGCACCATTGCAAGGTTGGCATTATGAATGAGAGATGGCATCACTTCCATCAGCTCAGGCTGTCCACCTGTGTCTATCATGTGCACCAGCTCGAGTTCTGGAAGAGGTGTTGCTGTTGGTTTTTTGACGACAAGTGGAGCTAGTTCCTTGCAGCCTGGGCTGGTCCTGAGGGGTTTTTGGGAGGTGTTCTGGAGCACTAGCCTTTGGAGGAGTAGGGTTTTCTTGCCCACTTTGGATATCGTACTTTAGACGCTTAGCAAGAGAGCAGACATCCTCTTCTATCATCCCAGCACGGATAAGAGGAGCAAGATGCTTGAGAATGTCCTCAAAAGAGATACACCGCCAAACACCACCTGTCAAATGCATCCTAAAACCTCGAAGCGACCGCTCGGCAACACCTGTGCTGGTGTACGATTGGGGCAGTTCCATGCCAAAGAGATGGTGCAAGAGAGTGGTCTTCCCTGATTCCATCAGACCTGTAATGACACCCACCACATCCCTCTGCTTCAAACTACCTGACTCCATTGCTTTGTCTATGATCTCCTGAGCCCTCTCATCTGTCATTTGTGCTGATGGATCTGGTGAGAGAGAGAAAACATCCAGATACTTGCAAATTGGCCAGTGCTTATCCTAAGGCACGAACATAGCATAACTGTACTACATAACATGGTAAGTAAGCTGACAGAAGGCCAACTTGGATAACATATGATACGATACAAGAACGCAAGGATTTTAACACAATACCGTGACGTCGATCCAGTACTGATGCACATGCGCTACAGAAGTAACAACAAAGGCGTATCGCCTGCAATTATCTACACGTGTGCATTGTCAGAGTCTCCGGAGGCTACTAGGGAAGCCCACCCCATTAATTAGGCCTGCATCCAAAGTGCACCGAGGGTTTGCACTTTGTGCTTTCATTAAGCTGCACAAAAACAGACATAGATGTCCTGCCATGACAAAAAACTTAGATAACATTATGCATGACACGACTAGGATAATTTACAAAATGGTTGATTTTATACGTGTGTACAAATAATATTTATAAAAAGTAAATAAAAAATCCTGCGAATTTAAAAAAGAGGCCTATAGGATGGTAGACAAAGAAAGGGAGGACAAGATAGGGATGGGATCTATGAAGATGGTTAATGAACGATTTGGAGTACCGCTGAAACCACCAACCCCACACAAGCAATACCATTTGTTGCTAGGTGAAGTATTACAGAATCTTTCACCCCAACTTGACATAAGTAGATTATGCCTTATGTGGGTAAGAATATAGTAATTAACCCTCGGCACGCATGCGCAGCGAGTACAGTACGTGGTTATCGTGAAGTGTGTCTGTCTGTCAGCGTCTGTCTGTTTTTTCCGTTCGTTCCTTGTTACCACGTTTCTGCGACTACCGCAACGAGACAACAAAACACAGAAGATCCAACGGGTTCCTCGCGTTGCATGGCTCATTTATTAAAAATAGGCGATTTCGTTACAACTAATGGCGTTCATAACGTTATGGCGTGAAAAGCAAGGCAACATGCAATATGTAAATTAGCACAGGCTTACCTCGACCGCGTCCGTTTGCGCTGTGTTGCTACCTGCAGGCACATGAGTCACACGAAGGGCGTTTATCGACTCCCGCATGCTATCTACTACTGTAGCTAGCCGTGTCAGATATCCGCGAGCTACTAGTGTGGAGACACGAGTAAACGCATACTAAAAGCCCAGCCAAGCTTCTCTCAAAGATTGCTGTTGCTTCTGAAATTGATCATAAAATTAGGAGCAAAGATGAAGTACTATATTATAGGCACAGTGTTGAAGGGTTGAAATGGTGGGGGGGGGGGGGGGGGGGTGGGGGGGGGGGGGGGGTGGGGGCGGGTGTGGGGGGTTGGGGGGGGGGGGGGTGGGGGGGGGGGGGGGGGGGGGGGAGTTGGTGGGGGGGGGGTGGGGGGTAGTGGGTGGGGGGGTGGGGGGGAATGGGGGGGAATGGGGGGGGGGGGGGGGGGGGGGGGGGGGGAAACATAAAACACTCCAAAAATTTACTTAAAGTATGCAAAGAATGTCGTAATGGAAGTGGTATTGAGTGTGTCTGATGAGGCCAGAAGTGCACATATACTTAGCAAATAGTCTTTGGAAGTGAACATGTGCGCAGCAGTGGTCAGTCGACAACTCTTTAATTGCTCCTAAAAACATGCGGGGTAAGCAACACACTGTGAGGTGGTCACACCAATCTTACACCAGTTGCAGAGCTTATGCCTTAGGAAAGTAGTAATGATGTAGGCAAGAAAAACACTACATGAATTAACACCATACATGTGTACCACCAGTTTTTGTTTTGTGAATGCAGGTTACAATACCTAATTTAAAGGGTTTACTGGAAAGTAGGCCAATGATGAAGAGGATCAACTTACAACTGCTAATATGTATGTGGGGCAAAACACCAACATGAAGACACGAAAGCCACACATTTTGGTAAGCGAGCTCGAGCAGTTTTTTTTAACGCGTGTATTTAGAATCACGTAAATACAACCTTACTGTATGTCAGTGTCGTCCCCGCAC